ATTAGAAATAATATACCTAGTAGTACCTATATTAAATATAAAAGGAATAGTATTATTATTATTATTATTAAAAATAATATTATTATTATTATAAACCTTATTAACTCTTTTTCCTAAATTATAAATATAATTAGTAAATAAAGAATCCTATTTTATTCCTTCTATATTATTAAAAATATAGTTAATATTTTTCTTATTATTATTAGTATATAGGGTTATAATAGTAAATACTATAGAATTTTTAATATCTAAATTAATATTTTTATAGTCTAAATTAATAGTTAAATTAGATTTATTTAACTTATTTCTAAAGGAATATATAGAAGAATTATTAAAATTATATTTACTATTAGTAACTATAACCCTTTCTTCTTTTTCCTTATTATTATAAGGTTTTTTAAACTTATTAAAGTCTTTAAACCTAGTTACTTTAGACTTATTATAACCTTTTGGTTTATTAAAGTCTTTAGTAACCTTATTTTTAAAGCTATAAGGAGCTTTATCTAGATAAAGAAAATAGTGATTTTCTTTATTATAACTCTTAAGCTTATAGTAATTATACTTTAAGCTTTTTTTAGTCTTTTTCTAGGGTTTTTTAATAATATTTATAATTTTAGAATTATTATTATTATTAAAATATTTAAGTCTTTTAGCCTTATCTATAAGGCTAGAAGTAAGAGTATTTATAGTATATAAAAGTAGGTTATTTCTTAAAGCCTAATTTATACTAGATATAAATCCTTTAAAACTTTTATCTATATTTTTAATAATAGATAAAGTCTAGGCTATAATTAATAATAAGCAGCTTAGAAGCTAGAAGAACAATCTCCTATTACCTAGTATATCTAGCACTTACCTATACTATATAACTAGATAGAAGATATATAATATAATAACTTTACCTCTTACCCTATATATACCCTATTAGTCTTAATAGGTTATAAGCCTAATAGCGCTTATATTATAAAAGCTATTAATAAAATAAAAGAATATATTAATTTTATACTAAATTTACCTATTATCTATATAAGCTAATATTTATTATAAAACTTAAGAAATTTATAACTCCTTATATATAGAAAGAAGAAAGACCTTAAACTCTAGTTAATTTAGAGTATATCTAATAAGTCTATTTACTATAAAAATTCTATATAAAGAAAAAGAAATTCTATTACTATATCCTACTTAATAATTTATATATAAACT